ACAAACCTGTGTGTGTGTGTGTGTGTGTGTGTGTGTGTGTGTGTGTGTGTGTGTGTGAACGGCTCTGTGTCGTGTATCTGTGGCACGTCTGTCAGTTTGATGGAGTTTCACCAGAGTCTGTGCTGATCCCGGTCCTCCATCACTGTGAGATATGGATGGAGCAGAACAGCTTCAGCTGTGGGACACTATGAGCATGTGAGTGAGTGAGTGTGTGTCTGTCTGTGTGTGTGTTGGCTAAATGTTTTTCCTCTCTGAAGCGGTTCACGTGTGTGGTCTGTTGTCCTCTCAGTCTCCAGACTCCGTCAATCTCTCTCTGTCTCAGCGCAGGTGCTTTCACTTGTTCTAAAGTTCCAGACGTGTCACTCATCTGCTGTGATTTTTCACTCTCAGCTGGTTTATTAGTTTCTTCTCTCACTTTTTCAAGCTAAATGAGTCCACTTCTAAAAGCCGAAGCTAAACTTTACTAGTTAGCATAGTACAAAAACAGCAAAACTAGCCACAATAAAGCTAGTGTGTACTTAACTGTATTGAATGTGTACTTGTAGTGTACTTCAAATACTGTACTTGTAGATAATATAATATTAATGAAACAAAAGGCTACTTAAGTACTATTTTTTATTAATTTTTTGCTTAAGTTTTTATTTTTATACTTTCATTTCAATTTTAGTTAAAGCTTTATTAATTTTGTTAAGTGTTTTTGTCATTTTTATTATTTTTTTTATACATGACTGTATATTTTTAATTGCAGGTTTAATTTTAGTTATCAGAAATATTGCCTTGGTAACTAGCAGATTTTTTTATTTATTTTTATTTTAAAGTAACTTTTTTATGGTTCTAAATTTAGTTTTAGATAAGTATAATAACCCTTATAAGCTTAATAACAAATGTCAAATTAAAAATACTTACTTGGAAGTATACTTTAAATCATTTTATATGTGACGCTGGACCACAAAACCAGTCTTAAGTGTCATTTTTTGTCATTTTCAGATTTATACATCATCTGAAAGCTGAATAAATAAGCTTTCCATTGATGTATGGTTTGTTAGGATAGGACAATATTTGGCTGAGATGCAACTATTTGAAAATCTGGAATCTGAGGGTGCAAAAAAATCTAAATATTGAGAAAATCATCTTATAGTTGTCCAAATGAAGTTCTTAGCAATGCATATTACTAATCAAAAATTACGTTTTGATATATTTACAGTAGGAAATTTACAAAATATCTTCATGGAACATGATCTTTACTTAATATCCTATGGCTTATGCCTTTTGGCATAAAAGAAAAATCTATAATTTTGACCCATACAATGTATTGTTGGCTATTGCTACAAATATACCTGTGCTACTTATGACAAGTTTTGTGCTCCAGGGTCACATATAATAATCTTTTGTCATGCTTTAAAGAAGTACACTTATTATGATGTGGTGACTAACACTAAAGTACATGTAAAGCACCATTAATAATTTTAACCGTAGTGTTAATGTATTAATATATCAGTTAATATTTTAAATGCACTAAATGGCAACATTATCACTACCAATGTCTGTGCACGCCATTGCTTTGAACCATAATTCAAAATATAAATCCTATTTCACAAAAAAAGCACTCTTTGCAACTAATTGCAATTAATATAAATTTAAACTTAAATTTTTTAGTTTGTTTGCAACTAACATGCAATTAAGTGTGCAAAAGCATTCAGTTAGTTTGCACTTATTCTTTTAAAGAATTTCCACATCTACTCTTTTTAAAAGTCTGCTACTTGTTTTTCCCAAGGGTGTTCTGAGCCGTTTAGCATATATTTATTTTTATAAACCAGGTTTTACAATCATTTTGAGGACATTTGGTCACATATAATGTAGACAAAGCCCACAAACTTAAAACGAAGCCCACAAACTCGTTTAACTCTCTTAATGAGCTCTGTCCTCTGTCTGTCTGAGGTGAGGTGTGGCTGTTTAGTTGCCTGCAGCGATGTTTCCAGCCAGTAACCAGATCAGAGCTGTATTGTGTCGTACAGTGAAACAGGATGACTGTATCATCCACACAATGAGTCAACCGACAGAGTGTTCAAAAACGGAAACAGAAAACACACCCTTTCCATCTACATCCGCCCAACCAGGCTGCCCGTGTGCTGCCCGTCTAAAAAGACTAAAGTGAGATTTGAAACAAGCAACACTCGCTCTAGAGGTCACAAGGTCACCGACGCAATTAGAGAATTAGAGAAGCACACTGCAAAAAAATGATTTTCTTCATAATCCTTAAAACCAAACTTCTACCATTTACTTGAAAAGCAAAATGGTAAGAACTGAAATAAGACTTGCTTTTGAACTCAGGGTTATAATAGTCAACTAAAACCGAAACTAAAATTAAAACCATAAAAAAAATCATAACTTGTAATAAAATAAACATTAACTGTAATAAAATAAGAAACGTTTTATTCAGCTATTTGCAAAGGCAACATTTTTCACTTTAATTTAGTTTAATTTGATATACTAAAATAACTTTCAACTACACCTGAAATAACAATAAAAAAACTAGACATATAAACAAAAAATACTAAAAACGACAAATACACACACACACACACACACACACACACACACAGACAGAGAACAAATTAAATAAAAATTTAACTAAAATGAAAATGAAAACAGAAAACGTAAAATTCTAAATCTTAATAAAAACTGTAATCCAATGATCATGAAATAATACTGTTTGAATTATTAATATTTATTTTTGTACATTACACTGAAAAAATTATTCAAATGCCATTTTCATTTTGTTCTCAGAAGTTGCTCGTAAATTTCACAAATAATTACAAAAAATGGCAAGTAACTCATTAAATTAAACCTGACATTTTGACGTAGAAAGACAACTGTTTTGTTTTATTTTACAAATTCGAAAAACAGTGTATTGCCATTTTTTCTATTTTTACCAACATAATGAGTTTTATGCTTAAAACAAGCAATTTGTCTCCTTACGCAAACTGATTTTATTTTAAAAATAATTCTTTTTTTTTTTTTACTGGAAAATAAGGCAAAAATACAAATGATGAAAATGTTTTTGCAATGCATTCATTAAGTGATAAAGTGAGCTCTGTTCCAAATCCTAGTGAGCTGCCTAAATAGATATCAGACATCATGAAGACATCATCACTACATTCCAGATATGACGGCTGTTTCAAAACACAGACAGCAGCATTAATCTAATTTCACCAAAATCATGCATCCTTCATCACTAAAGCAATCAGAATGCATTGTCAAAAAATCCAAATGATTCAATACAGTGGACGAGAAATGCAGAATATCAGTATACTGAGAAATAAAACAGGTCAATCAAATCAAAAACAGAGTGTTTTACCCATTGTTTGTGTGTTTATGTCACGCTTATGGATATTAGAGCACTGCATCATTAGCTGAGCAACAGTGGAGTCTCTCTCATGGTTTTTTAAAAGAGATGCATGTTAAAGTTACCAGCTTCAGAAACTGTTTTGTCGGAAACAAAAAGACCTGCTTCATCGCTTCACACAAATCCACTAGTTTTAGAAAAGAAATAGAGCTCGAGCGAGCAAACAAAGAGAGGGCAGACAGAAAGGGACGCGCTCTTACTGGAAACGCAGAAAGAAAATGTTGTGTTAGTTGATGCAGCCAATTAATTATATTGCAAGCCATTTAGAAATCTATAAAAGAAGCATAAAGGGGTTGAGGCTGTTTGAGAAAGTGTAAGTATGGTATTAAAAAATGGAATACGTGTATTTCAACCGCTCTGGGCGTTGTTACGTTGGAGTCTTTTTTTAAAAGGGAAGCGCTGTGTCTTAAAAAGAAGAAACGTGTAAATTATGCATTTCATTTTCTAGCCTCTCTTTTCTTCTCGCTCTTGCGTTTTGTTTTTGAGGGAGTGAAAAAATACGGCTGCACATGAAAAGGCGTTTTGTTGCGCACTTTGCTCCACCCTGAGGGGGCGCTGTGGAGGTGCGGACAGGTGTGTGTGTGTTAAAGTGTGTTTCTGAAATACAGCTTGAGCCTCCTTTTTATTAATATACCATCAGCTTTAATGTGGATTGGTGATTTCTATCATGCAAATCGGCGTCCAAATCAAATTCTGTCACCTTTTAGAGATCGCATATGTTTACAGATGCTCTAGCAATCAAAGACAGACACAGAAAACAAAGCAAGACAAAAGTTTACAACTCCACTCAAACAGCACTACTCGCATGAAACTGATGAAACCCAACTAACACTCTCAGTCCAATAGTCTGATAATAACATGCTGCAAAGTTAATTACATGATACTCTAAGCAGCTCAAAAATACATCATGCACACACACATATTTGGTAAATAGTTTGCTTTAAATTTGATATTTATAATTTGATTTTTATGAATGCTTTTCAGAACTCAATATATTCAAATATATTTGTAATTGACTATGAAACATTTATTGTTAAAACGTCTCTTAACTCCATCCACTTTTATGATTTTTTCTTCTGAGCAGCAACGCATTCTGGGATTGTATTAACCATGCATGCAAAATACATTACTGTTCAAAAGTTTGGGGTCGGCAAGTTTTTCCCTTTCTTTTTTTGAAAGAAATTAATACCTTGATTCAGCAGAGATGCTTAACAAATATTTGGCATATATTTAGGCCAGATTTTTTTTGTTCCCTGCCATATGGAAAGTACTGTTTTGTGTACTCTAAGTACTGTTCTTTTTCCTTATTTTTTTCCCGTCTTTATTTTATTTTTATTTTTATTATTATTATTTTTTTGATGGCTCATACACTAATGTTCAAATAGTTTGGAATCAATAAGAGTATTTATTTATGAGAGAAATTATTACTTTTATTTGGCAAGGATGCATTACATTAGTAATGCAACAGTAAAGATATTTATAATAAAATATATTTATAATGTTATAAATAATTTCTATTTCAAATAAATGCTGTTCTTTTGAACTTTCTATTCACCAAAGAATCCTGAAAAATAAAATGCATCACGGTTTCCACAAAAATATGAAGCAGTACAACTGTTTTCAACACTGGTAATAATCAGAAATGATTCTTGGGAAAATCAGCATATTAGAATGATTTCTGAAGATCATGTGACACTGAAGACTGCAGTAATGATGCTGAAAATACAGCTTTGATCACAGGAATAAATTACATTTTAGCATATATTCACATAGAAAATATTTATTTTAAATTGTAATAATATTTCACATTTTTACCATATTTTTTAATTAAATAAAATAAACATTCGAATACTATTTTGGTTAAATGAGACATTTTGTTTCATACCATTATATCAGCTTTCACGTCAGGGCTAAATCCGTGATGCCAAAAAATGCTGTCTAGATAGGGTTTGGAACAGAATCCAGTGATACTGAACTAGTTTAATAATCAAGTTGCTAAACATTTAGACAGTATGACAAACTATTATTTATTTCAGCATTTACACAGATTTTCTAAACTCCGCCCACATTAAACAAACACGCCTCCACTGAGCAGATGAAACGTGATAGCGTGATGTTAAACATGCAGGAATAAAGCGATGTCTCAGACAGATGAGAGCAGCACATGGCTTTACCTGCACCGAGTTCAGTCTGCAGTAGCCGTTCAGGGGGAAGCGGATGACATGGGTCGGGTCCTGGTTCCAGCCAGCGTTGACTGAGTTACACATGACGTCACCGGTCTCGGGGAAGATCTCCTCGATGAGCACCTTCTCCCCGCTGAGGGCTATCCGCTCGCCGAGGTCAGGGGTCACGCGGACCACCAGGCAGTCGCAGGGCTGCGCCAGACGCCTCTGCTCCCGCTCCTGCTTCCACCGCTCCAGCTCCTTGATCATGGGCATCAGCTGGTAATAACGCGCCTCCTCGTACAGGAGAAGGAAGTCCTGGACACACAGACACACACACACACATGAGGAATATGCATCTATCATTTATTTATTTATTATACACACTACCATTCAAATGTTTGGGGTCAGTAAGACTTTTTTTTTTTTTAAGAAATTGCTCCTTTTTTTTCAGCAAGGATGTATTAAATTGACCAAAAGTGTCAGTAAAGACATTTATAATGTTACAAAAGATTCTATTTCAAATAAATGCTGTTCTTTTGAACTTCCTGTTCATCAATGAATCCTGAAAAATAAAATGCATCACAGTTTCCACAAAAATATTGGGCAGCACAACTGTTTTCAACATAATAATAATAATCAGAAATGTTTCTGGAGCAGCAAATCAGCATATTAGAATGATTTCTGAAGATCATGTGACACTGAAGACTGGAGTAATGATGCTGAAAATTCAGCTGCGCATCACAGCAATAAATTACATTTGAACAGATATTCACATAGAAAACACTTATTTTAAATTGTAATATTTCACTGTTTTTACTGTATTTTTAATCAAATAAATGCAGCCTTGGTGAGCAAGATACTTTTTTTTTTAAACATTTTAAAATCTTACAACCCTAAACGTTTGAATGGAAGTGTAAATATATTAAGTATTTTAATATATATATATATATATATATATATATATATACACACAATATATCCTGATATTAATATATCTTGTACATTAATATATTTTAAATTGTTTTTATATATTTTAATTTAATACTTGAAAACATCTTGTATATTAATATATATTCAAATGTTTTTAGGAATTGTTTTTGTGTTTCAAGCATAAATCTAAGAACAGTTTGCTTGATTTATTCAACAAAGACTCATGATACAACAGATTCAGGCCACATCCAAAAAAAGAAACTGTATATAATACACACAAAATGCATTCAAATCCTACAGTTTTAGGTTAAAAATAATAATTTTTTTAAAGAATAATGAACTGTCTTTTTAATGGACAATAAATATATAGTAGATGCTTACACTTTTCTTACATTTTGATACTTTTTTTTTTGTAGAAAACAATATTATTATTATCATATGTCATTTTACTTTTTAAGTAAATGCATCTTGATTCAAGAATGTTTAGATATTTATACTTTATATTATACCTGTATGTGTATATAGTATAAATATACAGTACACATACAGGTATAATTTATTTATACTATATATATATGTTATTTATACTATATATTATATAATCTAGTATATATTTTCCATTATATATTGGATAAATATATATATATATATATATATATATATACACATTTTTTTTTATAACTTTTTTTGCAATGAACAAGCAGAAAATGTTTAAAATAAGTTTAAAAAATAATTTTAGATGGTCTGAAAACATTGTAAGTGGACATCATAAGGGAAAAATGTTACTAATGTATATAACACACGTTTCTAACCTCCATACGTGGATATTGCTCTTTTCTTTTTGCCCATGTCTACGTGTTTACAATTTCTAAATAACATAAGAGTGGTGTTTCCCCATGCAACACTGCAGGAAAGTTGCACACTGAAGTTTAATATTTAATGAGCGATTTTGATGCTTTTACTGCAAAAGCTGCTAATAAAGCAACAAAACAAATAAATACATAAATAAAAGGCAATAAGTGAATGAATCTTTAAAAAGCAGTGCGATTGGGGTGCAGGGTGGCATGTTTTGCTCAGAGGGGTATCAGCGCTGCCCGCGGGGCAACAGTCAAGACGTTTGGCAGGATCTCATGTGCTCGTTGGATCCCGTCAGTGACGGACCTCCAGGCTTCAGCGTTTCTTTATCCAGGCAGACAACAGCAGACTGCCAAACGCTCGCTCTCTTCCTCTCGGGGATGTCTTGCCAGGGGTTTTTTGCCCCTTTCAGTTTTCCCTTAATTTCCCACAAGTCCAGATGGTACTATTCTTCCTCCACTCTCCATCACAGAGCGGGAGGAGCCGAGGTGTGCATGAGGGAGGAAAATGTTGGAGTTCAACTGAGGATACAGCTTTGTGTGCAACGTCTGCAGAGTAATCTGCATGAAGATTGATATGAACAGTCATGCACACAGCCTGAATGGTAACTAAACTGCATGAGTAATTGTACACACAGTTTCTCTGCATTTTGACAGCGTGATTGTGTTAAACTACATTATCGCTCAGCTTTTGGATATATAAGTGTATTTGACTTCAACTTCATATACAGTATACTCACATAAAGTGATAATATAGCAAATCTTGATTGTTTATATCGTAACTATATTATTGCCCAGTTCTAATCTGCAAAATGCAACTATAAGGCACAAAGATGAAAATATCATAAACATTAACATCATGATTTTTTTTGTAAAGCTGCTGTGAAACAATGTGAAAACACTATAAAAATAATTGCACATTTCAGCACGAAAACACTGCAAAAAATGGTTTTCATGATCAATAACTCATGGCAACATGTTTTTTTATTACTGTAACTTATCAAAATAATAAAAAAAAAATCAACTTCATTTTTTAAATTACAGAAGATTGAACTTACAAGACAATGCAATTTAAAACAATTTAAGTTTAAATTACTTTTACAGCCAATTTGATTTAACTTCAAAGTTTAAAGCAGCATCTGTTTTTTTTACAGTGTATTTTTGTCTTGTTTTCCAGTACAAATATCTAAGTATTCTTGATTCAAGATACATTTACTTGAGAAGAAAATGAAAAAAGAAACAAAATCTGACAGTGGTGTCAGAAAAATAATATTGTTTTCCTTTTGAATTAAGTTTATATTTCATACCTCATTGTATAATATGTTTTCATCTTTTAAGCTTAAACTCATTTAATTTTGATAATTGTTTTCAGAAAAAAAGACTTAATATTTTATGTCAATTCATTTTGTAAATAAATGTAGATATTTGTAGTGGAAAACAAAACAAAAAAAATTTTTTTTTTGCACTGAATCAGCATAAATATGTTTAATAAGTTTATAGTTTTTTTTATAAAAACTATGAATATACTAAATAATTATTTTGTAATGAATAATATATTTTATTTTAATATCTTGTATTTTACTTTTTAAGTAAATGCATCTTGATTTAAGAATATTTAGATATTTGCACTTGAAAACAAGACAAAAATACTGAGGAAGAACTTTTTTTTTTGCAGTGAACAAGCAGAAAATATAAAATGCATGCAATATAAGTTTTACAAAATATTTTTTGATTGTTTGAAAACATTTGTCACAATAAGTGACCATTATAGGTGAAAAATGTTTATGAATATATATAACTTTGGTCTGAACATGCTTCTAACCTCCATATGTGGATATTTAGCTGTTCTTTTCTTTTTGCCCGTGTCTTTTTTCTTTTCTTTTGCCCTTCACAGTGCTGATGACAAAATGCATGCGGTGCATCAGTGCTGGAGGGAAAGCTGAGGTATTAAAAGATGCGCCTGGGTTCTCTAAAGCTCCTCTTATAGTTGAGCCTCATGCAACCGACATGACGAAGAGCCAGATACAAGAGAGGTGAAGAAAGAAAGCGAGCAGATAGAAAGACAGACGATTCGCTAGCCTGAATTCCCATGTTCAGGCGATCCGACAGGCCTGTTGTGATCCAAAATAATGATCTTATTCTGTTGCCCACCGGCAAGACAACATCTCACAGACAGACATAGAGAGAGAGAGAGGCAGAGATATTCCCCCGTCTCCATCTAATACGTATAAGAGATGACCATTTCTCTTTGATTTTGTCAAACACATGCTGATGTAGAGGGGTCAGATCCTACGTGACACAAACCTTGGAATCAAAAGTAAATCTTTATGGTCTTACTCACTGGATTTATTATGAATGAATCATCAGTGCATGCTATTCTAAAATCAAAAGATCATTCATTAAAATTGTCACAAAACTTTGAGAAATGACATTAAAAGTCAAACACCAGCAGCATCATGCTTGATTTACTCGAGCAGCTTAGCAACTGATAATCTTTTGAATGATGCTTTTTTCACTGAGAGATGCAAAACATATTCGGCTTTAGCTCCACGTTCACACTGATTTAGTGAAACGTACGCCAACGCGGGCCATGACAGTCACGATGCCTCACAGATAAAGACACGCTTAACACCGCCGGCTGCCGTTCGCATTTCTGTCTGATTTCACACACGCTGATCAGCAGATCAAACCAGTCTAAACTGGGCTCTTTGCCCGACTCGAGAGAGGAAAACAAAAGTGAATCCAGATCAAGATTTAAAAGACATAAAAGTAAGTTTATTCATGAGGATAAATCAGCCATAAATATATATATATATTCATTTTTGTGGTCTAGATACACGCCTACATGAAAACTGTGCAATGTGACACAATCTTAGCTAGGGCTGCACGATTAATCGCATGCGATATTTAACGCGCA